AGAGTTTGATGGTAACCATCAGAATCACCAATCAGGTGAATCACACGACTTTTCAGCATCTTATTTGTGCTGTCTCTGATGGTACAGTAGCTGAATCTGAAAATACTGATCAATGGTCCCTATTGGACCAACTACCATCTTTATGGGCAAAATCTTCAACTGACATTGGCAGAATTCACAGTGCACCTCCTATCAAGGTTCAAATTGATCCTTCAAAGCCTCTGCACAGAATTAATATCCTATAAGTCAGGAGGCCGCCCGAGGTATAAAGCCCATAATATTGATAGAAGATTACGTAGCTCAGGGTCTTATTCCTTGCACTAGTCCTTGTAATACTTCTCTTCTACCCGTGAGAAAGCCAAAGGGACGAGGGTGGAGGTTTGTCCAGGACCTCCGAGCAATAAACCACATTGTTGTCCCTTGTCACCCTGTCGTTCCTGTCCCCCATACCCTGCTGGCATCCATCCCAACTGGAAGCAAATTCTTTACAGTCACTGATCTATGCAGTGCATTTCTTTAGCATCCCGGCTGATGAAGCTAGCCAGTACCTTTTGCTTTCACTTGGGAAGGAAAGCCATTTACCTGGACAGTAATGCCTCAGGGATTCACTGACAGCCCTTCTTTCTCACAGACCCTGAAGACCGATGTAGATGACGTAGTTTTCCCCAAAGGTTCCACTTCATTACAATATGTGGATGGCTGACTTCTTTGTTCTTCTGAGATTTCTTCACAGGATGATAGCATCCGTTTGCTGACACTCTTGGCCTTAAAGGGACATAAAGTCTCTAAAGAAAAGCTACAATTTGCCCAATTGTTCAGGTTCGGTACTTGGGACATCTGATATCGGAACAAGGTCTGCACCTGGACTCAGCCAGTCTCCATGGCGTCCTCTTAAGTTTTCCAAGGTCCAAGACTAGGCACCATTTGTGAGGTTTTCTTGGGCTAGTTGACTACTGCCGGAATTGGATTCCAAGTCTTTCTCTTACGGCGAAACCTTCTGTATGTCCTATTAAAGAGTAACAGTCCTGACCCAATTTCAAGGGAAGAATGGGGTGACGTGGCCTTTAAGACTTTGAAGGAGAGTTTCATGAACCCACCCTCTCTTGGGCATCCTAACTACCAGGTTCCCTTTCTTCCTTTTTGTGCATGAAAAGGAAGGACATGCCCTTGGGGTGCTCGCCCAGAAACATGGGGATCGTTATAAACCCCCAGGATACTATAACCAACAACTGGACCCAGTGGCTCAGGGACATCCTCCTTGCCTCAGAGCTGTTGCTGCCACTGCCGTCCTGGTTAAAGCCACAGAGAAGATGGTTGTGGGATCCCCTCTAACCATCTTTGTGCCTCATGCGGTAGAAGCTCTCCTGAATGCTCGTCAGACTCAGCATCTTTCGGTCAGCCGTCTTACTTCCTATGAAATCCTTCTGCTAACTGCTTCCCCTATAACCCTTTCACGTTGTAATAACAATCCAGCCACTTTCCTTCCTTCTGGGACTGAGGAAGCCCCTTATGACTGTCTGACACACAGCCTCCTGGCGATTTGCAGAAAATTCCTCTGGGTAAAGCTGATTTCTCATGGTTTACTGATGGTTCGTACTTAAAAGTCGAAAATGGTCAGTACTGTGCTGGTTATGCTGTTGTAACTCCTGAAGTCATTAAGGCAGCACCTTTGCCTCTGGCCACTTCAGCACAGCAGGCTCAACTGTATGCCCTCACCCGAGCTTGCAAAGGGTAAAGCTGTCAACATTTATACCGACAGCAGATATGCCTTTGGGGTAGCCCATGACTTTGGAATGTTATGGAAATAACGTGGTTTCCTTACCTCCAATGGACATCAGGTTAAGAACGGTCCATATGCACAGAGAATATTGGATGCCATACTTTTACTTGATGCCTTAACCATTATTGAAATTCCGGGGCATTCTAGACTTGAATCCCTGGAGGCTAAAGGAAATCACCTGGCTGACATTTCTGCTAAAAATGCTGCCTTTAAAGGCAGCAGCAGCAGTCAAAACCTCTGTCATGGTCTAGAGAGGAGCTTCTCCAGTTGATCACTTAGAAAAACTGTCCAGAGAAGCCCAACAATCAGCTTCTGAAGAAGAAAAACAACTGGAAATCCAATAATTGGTTTAATAAGAAAAAAAGACTGGTTCGGACCAAATAACAACCCAGTCCTACCAGAAACTCTAAAATTCCCACTCCTAACCACTGTACATGCGTTGAATCACTGGTCAGCTGACAATGGTAGCTTTCATGCATCAATATTGGTGGGGAAATATTAATTAATAAGGCTGCAAAAAGTGCCTACCTCAGGTGTCCCACCTGTCCTAAGTATAACTCAGGGAAGCCTATTTGCACTGCCCCTGGACATTTTAAATTGCCAGACGGACCATTTGAGGTCTGGCAACTAGACTTCACATAGCTTTCCTCCATCTCATGGATATAAGTATGTTTTAGTCATGATGTATATGTTTTCTCACTGGACTGAAGCTTTAACTTGCAGACAGGCTAATGTGTCTGCAGTGGCTAAAGTGCTGTTAGAGAAGATTATTCCCACGTGGGGGAACTCCTTGAACTCCACAGCGATCGAGGAACCCATTGCACTGGTCAGGTGCTAAAGCAAGTCTGTGCTGTTTGGCCAATCCTACAACATTTTCACTGTGCTTACTGCCCTCAGTCTTCAGGATTGGTTGAACACACTAATGGCATTATTAAGACTCAATTGGCAAAATTTATAGAAACTCTTCAAATACCTTGGCCAAAGTCATTGCCATTAGTTCTTTTAAATCTCAGATCCACTCCTTTTGGGACTCATAAGCTCGCAGCTTTTGAGATAATTGCAGGACGCCCTATGCATTTGGCCCCTGCCTCTCCATCCACAGTTGGTGAAAGGAGACATACTTCAGTATTGTAAAGGCTTAATTCTATCAACAATAACCATACGTTAGTCAAACAATTGTTTCACCATACACTCCAGGGAAATGAAAAACTAAAAATTTACACATCAAAACCTGGAGATTTCATCTATTGGAAAAGACACCTAAAAAAGGATTTCTTCCAGCCACGCTGGAAGGGCCCTTACCAAGTACTGTTGACTAACCCCTGTGCTGCTAAGCTATAGGAAGTAGACTCTTGGATACATGTGTCACACCTGACGAAGGTACCGAGCACTGATTGGAAAAGCTCGCAGTCTGGTGACCTGAAACTAAAGATGTCAAAATTTTAAGGCAAATGATCCCTATGGAGCCTGAGTTCCTGGTTTATCACCTGCCACACAAGTTAGGTTGCTATGTTCAAATTCTATCTTTTTACTTTATCTGTTTAAGCTCTGCTACTGATGCCGGTCGACGCCGGATGCCAGCTGTTTCCTGATCCCTGCCCTCTTCCCCATGATGTGAGAGATGACACCTAGAAGAGGCCCTTCTGACACCGAGGGACTAGAGGCTGAACAGACATCAAAGGACAAAAAGACTGGACTCTAAGAACCTGAGACTGAAGACCTGACTGTTGATCAATGATCTTTTAGAAGAAAGATCTTGACCAAGAGGGGGACCGATAAACTGAACTGGCCTCTTAAGATGCTTAACCGTAGAGCTGGGAGGACTATGGGTGAGGCTGGGCCCTTGTTAACTCTATAGTCCTGATTCCCGCTCATCCTTATGGTAATTCTGGGGGTGGGATCATAATAAAGGGATTAGCCATTTTGAAACCGGGGTCTTTTCTACCTCCACGTGGGCTGCCGGTAGGAGCTTTGTGTAGGAGGTGTGCTTTCCGCACTGCGGTGGCCAGCTTGCTTTTTCTTTTCCCAAATAAACCATTTCTTTTGTGGGTTACTTGGAGAGTTATTTTTCGCCAATTCAACACTGCCATTATTATTAATATTTTTATTTTATTGGGGAACTGTTTTTCCAGGACCCATCAGCTTAAAGTCAAGTACTTGTTTCAATCTAGTGGAGGGTGCAGCTCAGTAGCCTATGTGGGGATCAAACTGGCAACCTTGGTGTTATGAGCACTGTGCTCTAACCAGCTGAGCTAACTGGCCGCCCCAGTATCTGCCATTATTGCAAAAAGCCAGGAAGCTTACAAATGTAAGTCCTTCAGATGCCCTCAGCCCTCCAGCCCGCCTCCCTTGTGGCCTACCAGTCTTGGTGGAGGGGATCTGAGAACTACAGGGCTCCTCCCTACCCTCCTCTTCATCAGCTTGGAGCAGCCATCCTCCAGGTTAGGAGTGAATCTATTCTGTGTCACCGGGGCCACACAGTTGCCTCACTGCTGTAAAGCAGCCCCTGCCTCGGGGTGTCATGACCGGGCTCCTGTTCCTGAATCTGTCCCTTTTGTTCAATCCCCTTGACAGCCGCCCCCGCGCCCCTGCCCCCACCACCTTACCTGCCTCCTCAGCTCCTCACCCCTCACTGCTAGGCCGAGACTCCCTGGAGAAATACCGTGCCAGAATTTCTCCTGAAAAGGGAAACCATCTCAGAACTTGCCAGGAGCTGTTGGAATAACCAGTCAAGTGAACTAAGTGGCCTTTTGACGTCTTTATTTGCTCTATTTCCAACAGCACTGTAGCCTAATCTGGGAGCATGGAGCAACTGTCCCCGTTGGGTCAGCTGCCACCTCTCTAGGGGTGAAATCCCCAGATGGTATTGGCAGAACGCACAGTGCATGCACGCCTGGCACCCACCCAGCTGGCAGTTCCTCTTGCCACTGACCTGTGCTGTGCGTTCTACATACTTTCACCGGAGATGCCGCGCCTGTGCCTGCACGTGGCCAGGACACACCGTACACACACACGGTCCAGACTCTGGGCTTCTGGGGAGCCCTCTCAGTCCCCAAGTCCTGAGGGCCGCCCAATGCCCTGACCTTCCCTCAGGGTCCCCAAGTGCATCGGTGGTGACTCGCTTCCTGGCGCTTCCTCCCAGCCTTGAAGGGACATGAGATCGTCAGGGGAAATACTAGCTTGCCTAAACCCAGCTTCCACATTCAGGGCGTCTGCTACCGGAACAGGGCTGCACTTGGGCCCTCAAGGCTTCCTGGCGTCCCCAGCTCCCCAAGGCCCCCAACTAGCCGTCAGCTGCGAAGCTGCCTCAGGCTGGTCAGCAGTTACCGAAATTGGGTCTCAGATCTCTCCAATGGCTGATGCTGTTCTGTACGTTTTCTAAAGAGTGACAGCTCTGACCAGTGAGTATTATGGAAAGAACTGGATGACATGGTCTTTTAGCCTTGGAGGAGACTTCAATGAACCCACCTGTCCTTGGGCAACCTATGAGCCCCTGTCCCTTTTGTACATGAAAAGGGATGGAGTGCCCTTGGGGTATCACCCAAAACACAGGGACCCCCATAGGCTCCTAGGGCACTGTAGTCAGCAAGGGGACCCTGTGGCTCGGGGACTCCCCGCTTGCCTTAGAGCCAGTGCTGCCACTGCCCTCTTGGTCAAGGAGGAGACGGTTGTAGGGTCTCCATAACCGTCTGTGTACCCCATGCAGCAGAAGCTTCCTGAGCTCTCGTCACACCCAGGAACTTCAGTCAGCTGCCTCACCTCCCATGAAGTCCTTTGTTAACTACTCCTCACATATTCAGTGTCATAACCTCCTGCTACTCCCATCTGTCACTGACAAGGCGCCTCACAACTGCTTGACACTGACAGGTCCCCGTGAGCCCTGGTGAGGATTGCACGAGACTCCTTGGGTAATGCTGACTTCCCCTGGCTTATAACGGTTCATATTTAATGATGAAAGTGGCAAGCACTGTGCTGGGTGTGCTGCTGTAACCCCTTCTGAAGTCGTTGAGGCAGCACTGTCACCTGTGGCCACCAGCCCAGCTGGCTGGATTATTTGTGCTCCCCTGGGCTGTATTTTAGCAGAGAGAAGGCCGCCCACATCCATGCTGCCGTGGGTCTGCCTGTGGATGAGCACATGACTTTGAACGCTGTGGAAGCAACATGACTTCCTTACTTTCAGTGGAAATAGAATTAGGGATGGTCAGCCCGTGTGATCAGGAATTATAGAACGCTATACTTTCCCCTGCTGCTTCAGCTACTGTTAAGGCCCCAGGACATTCTAAACCTGACTCTGGAAGCTACGGGAAATCACCTGGTCACATTTCTGCTAGGAATGCTGCCCTTAAAGAAACCAGTAGCAATTAAACCTGTTGTGGGCCAAAGCGATATTTGCCCAGCTGATATCTTAGAAAAACTGACCAGAGAGGCCCAACAGTCGGCCTCAGAGAAGGAAAACAAGGTCAGAAATCCAACAATTGTTGATAAAGCTAGACCAGACCAGATAACCACCCCGTCCTGCGGACTCTAGTTCCCACTCCTGACTCCTGCACCTGCCCTAGACCACTGATCTGCTCACAGAAGGACAGCATTCGAGGATCCACATCTGTGCTGGGGAGGTGTTAGCAAGGCCAGGAAAAGCGCCTCCCTCACTGTCCCGCCTGAGCAACGTCCAGCCCAGGGCACCGGTCCGCACTGCCCTGGACGGTTTAAATGCCCAGGAGACCCCTGGAGGGTGGTGAGTGGGTCTCAGGCAGTCCCCGTCTTGTGGATACAGATGGGTCCCAGTCACGGTCTGTGTTCTCTCACTGACCTGCGGCCTCCCGGTAGCCAGGCCGCTGCCTCTTCTGTGGCTGAAGTCCTGTTAGAAACGCTTATCCCATGGGGGGCGCCCTCTCGAACTGCTCAGTGGTGGGGAACCCCCTTTACTGGTCAGGTGCTCCGACAAGGCTGTGCTGTTTGGCCGGTTTTACACTTTCACTGCGCTGACCACCCTCAACCCTCAGATTTCGTCCAACGCACTCACTGCATTAGCAAGACTCAGCTGGCAAAATGTGTGGACACCTCCAAGCACCTGGGCCCAAAGTCTTGCTGCTGTGCTAAATCCAGACCCACCGCTCTGGGGCTTAGAATGCTCAGCTCCGGACATAATCACAAGGCACCCTGTGCACCTGGCCTGCCTCTTTTGCTCTGCAGCTGATGAAATATGCTTCACTACTAAAGGCCTAAAGGCTTCACTACTAAAGGCCTAATGGCTTCTATGGAAATGAGCCTTGTTTAGGGAGAGCGGCTGTGTCGGTGTGTTCCTGGCCGCATTGGGGACATGTGGTCTAACGGGAAGCCACAAGCAAGTCCTGAGACAACGGAGGGGAAACTATTTCAGTGACTCTTACAGACCAGGGACATTTAAAAACTTCTCTTCGTAATGTTCTATAGTTTTCATTGGAGAGATCTTACATGTCTCTCAAGTTTATCCTTAAGTATTTTATGTTTTGTGATGTGATTGTAACGGTATTTTTACATTTTTATGTCCCAAATGTTAATATGATACACAAGCACGATTGATTTTTTTGTATACCGACGGTCTCCAATGACACTGGCAATTCGCATACTAGTCCTCACAGAGTGATGGGGTGCGCCGCTAACTGCTCTCTCGAGCAAAGGAGAGGCCCCGGGTCTCAAGCCCGCAGCCTTCGATGCAGCGAGCCTCGCACAGTCTCCTGGGCATTCTGGGATCAGATTTCTCGTCCTTAGGGCTCCTTGCAGGGAAAAGGGGGTGGACTGTGACAGACCCTGGTGACGCTGGGCCCGTGTTGGAAATATAGGGGCATCCTCCTCAGAGTCCTCTGAGGTGTCCTTGTAATGCCAGGACTTTTACTGAGAAAAATATTTCTGGTGACTGAAAAACTACCAATGAAAACTATTCTGTGTTTTGTGTGGTTTCAGCCAGATTTATCTAGTGAAAACAACAGAAAAAAGACCTCTCCCCACCCCCAGAAGTTATTGAAACATGCAGCATCATGAATGACTCTCAAAAGCATTATATGCGGGCCGGCCGAGTGGCGCGATGGTTAAGAACTGGCTTGGGACACCAGAGGGCCCTGGTTCGGATCCCACATATGAGGGCCAGTGACACTGCCCTCCACAGCTAAGATGCTGAACAACAGGTCAACCTGGAGCTGGGATGCCGTGAGTCGCTGGCGACAGCGTAGGCTGCAGCCCCTGTGGCAGTGGGTTGCCATGGGCTACCGTGTGTAGCCAGCAGCCAGCGTGAGCGGCCAGCAGCCGCAGTGAGCGGCCGTCCAGAAGCCGGCGACTGAGGCCGTCCAGAAGCCGGCGACTGATCTGCCTCTCCCGGGAAGAGCGCAATGATGGTGCCAACTTGGGCCAGTGAAGCAACGTCCTCCACAACTAGACTGAAGAACAGAAGGACAGCAACTTGTCTGTTCCCCTTCCCCCAATTCCCCAGCACTGTTCCCATCCCCCCAATTCCCCAATAAAAAATAATAATAAATAAAATCTTAAAAAAAAGCATTATATGCGTTTCACAGTAAATAAATAAAAATCTTAACTGAAAAAAAAAAGCATTATATGCAGATTGTCAGAAGTAGGGCAAAAAAAGTACATAGCACCAAATTCATTCTTATACAAGTCTAGAGCAGGCACATTAATCCATGGTCAGCAGTGGAAATCAGGTCAGTGGGGACCTGGGGACCTGGGGCTCCGGATGAGGGATGGGGCAGGGCTGAGAGGGCAGGAGGGCAGGCTGTTCTTTAGGTAGGTTATGGCGTTAGTTATGTGGGCACAAACATCTTTCAATATTTCCCACACTCTAAATGGCTGCATTTTATTGTATGTGAATTGTACCACAATAAATTGATTTTTAGGAATATAAACGATAAACCTAACGATCTTCTTTCAGCCTCAATTAAAATGAAAAGAAGCCACCCACAAAGAGACATCCTGGGAAGACCTGAAAAGGAGTGTTTTATTGATTCAACAACCTTGAGATTTCAAAGTGCCGGCTTACTCATTAC